AAAAAAAAAAAAAAAAAAAAAAAAAAAAAAACTCTGCTTTCCTTTAACCTCATAGTGTCGACATGGTTAGCGAAGAAGAAGCTCTAATCCAAAAGGTGGTGGATTTGTATGAGCAAATCTCTGGCCTTGAAAGCCTCAAACCTTGTAAGCATGTCGACACTCTGTTCACAGAGTTGGTGGTCACGTGCATGCCACCCACCAGCCCTAATTTCCACATCAATTCACTCTCAAACCCTCTTCAACAAATGAGATCAAATCTGATCCGCCTTTGCGGCCAAGCTGAGTCCCTTTTGGAGTCCCATTTCTCTGATCTCTTAGCCAATTTTGATTACCCTCTTCACCATCTCCATCTCTTCCCTTACTTCTCCAATTATCTCAAGCTTAGCCTCCTTGAATTCTCCATCCTCCGCCGCCACTGCCCCATCCTCCCCTCCTCCGTTGCCTTCGTCGGCTCCGGCCCTCTTCCTCTCACCTCCATCGTCCTCGCCACCCGCCACCTCCCCTCCACCTCCTTCCACAATTATGATCTCGACCCACTTGCTAATTCCCAGGTATCAGGCCTTAAAGTAGATGTGAACATACGTGATTTCTTAGTTTATTTTCTCATACTTGTTTGTTGTTGTGCAGGCGTCAAAATTGGTATCGGTGGACTCGGACCTGAAGACGAGGATGGTGTTTCACACGTGCGACATCATGAAAGTGACGGAGGAGTTGAAGGAGTACGAGGTTGTGTTTTTGGCAGCTCTAGTAGGAATGGAGAAGGAGGAGAAATTGAGAGTGATAGAGCATTTGTGTGAGTTCATGGCGGAAGGGGCTTGTTTGATGGTGAGAAGTGCTCATGGAGGAAGGGCTTTCCTTTATCCTGTGGTGGAGGAATGTGATTTGGTAGGGTTTGAGGTTCTATCGGTGTTTCATCCGAGTGATGAAGTTATAAACTCAGTGATAATTGCAAGAAAAAAGAAGAAGGATGATGATTGTTTGAAGATTGTTGGTGATGATAATCATGAAAATGGTATTGAAAATGGTGTTGTTGTTCATAACAAACAATGTTGTGATCACATTCATGGCTTCAACAATCATGGAGGAATGATTGAGGAGTTAGCTGAGTAGTAAATGATGTTAAGCTTATGTGGGTTTCTGATTATGTTCACGTTTTAGGGCTAATTTTAGGGCAAATGAACCACCCTTCACTTATGTTGGTTCATGCTTTATGTAATAATTTTTGTGTTCTCATTTATGAATGAATGAGAATGCTATGTTTTTTTGTTTTACCATTTCGATCCTATCCGATCCATTCGACTATGTTTTTCTCGATTGCTATAAAACTATTTTAAAGTTTCAATAATTCTTTTTGAAAATTTTAATATGATCTATGTTTGTCTCCATAGCTATACCAGTTAAAACTGTTTTAAAATCTCAATATATTCCTCTGGAAATGACGGTATAGATTCTTCTCGATTATATAGCTTAAAATTTTAATAATATGTGGTTATATCATTTAAACCAAATAATTTTTTAAAAATTCAAATTTTCATTTTAACAGTGATTAGGTAAATTTCATCCATTTGATTTGGTTAATAATGAATTAATTACTTTTTTTACACGTTTAAATACAAATTGGAACTGTTGATCTCTTAATTAAAATATATACTTAATCCAAATATAACGGTTAATATCTTACCGGAGCACTTAAAAGCTTACCACAGTAAATATAGAAATTTTTTATAAATTACATTAGAATTTTCATTTTCAATTTTTTAGTTCAAACAAATTTTATAATTTAAGAAATTTTCTAAGCTAAATAACTTTTGAAAATTTTAAAAAATATCAGTTAGTTAATACTCTCGAATACCATTAAAACTAACCTTACGAAAGTTTCAATAATATTCCAAAGAGTTTCAAAAATATCAATAATTTTTCACAAAAAAAAATAAAAAATATCATTTAAGTCTCAAAATAGTTTCAAAAATACCTTTAAACTTTAAAAAAATGAACTCTCAAAATTTTCATTTAAAAAATACCTTAAAAGAGAAAATAGATTAAATTGTTTTTTTTTTTTATTATTATTATTATTACTCTTAAAATTAAAGAGAGAGATAAACTATGGAGTGTAGATTAGCAAGAGGGTAAGAAATTTTAAAGGATAATTTTCACTCCCTAAACTAATTTCTACTTTAAAAACTATATATAAAAACATCTTATTTAAAAATTTGAATTTATATATATCGATATAGACATTAGATATATTTATATATAAAAGTGGAGTAGGGCGAGTAGGGCGAGCAGAGATTGGGAAAGGGTCGGCTTATCCGCATCTCCATTTAACTAACGAAGAAACTTCGTTTTCCACTCCCTTTCCCATTCTCCATTTAAACAGAGATTCTTCATTGCGTTCGAGATGACTCCCCATAAATCTCCGGACTGTGCAGATTAAATAAACATCTCTTGTTGCATCTCTTTTTAAAGCAAAATATTAAAAAATATTAATTATTATTTTTTAAATTTTAAAATAAAATTTAGAAATACTTCTATTAATTTAAAAACTTGGGAGTCGCTTATAAAAATGATTTTGGTTCGCTTCTGTTTGATGAGGAAAGGAAGAAGGATGAGAAGATGAGCTCAATCTCCACCGCACAGCTTCCTTCTCCCCTCGAGCCAGAACACTTCGAGGCAGAGAGGAAACTTCCCACATCAAAGCTTCCACAGAAAACAGTTCTGAAGCTTTTCGATTCAAAATCGATTACTTCTTTGAAATATCTCAGCCAAGTTCATGGACTTATACTGCGAAGCGGCCATTTCCAAGACCATTATGTTTCTGGCGCGTTGCTCAAGTGTTACGCAAATCCCCATTTCAGCAATTTTGACTTCGCTTTAAAGGTATTCTCCTCAATCCCAAATCCCAACGTTTTCATTTGGAATATTGTAATTAAAGGGTGTCTAGAGAACAACAATCCGTTTAAAGCTATTTACTTCTATGGTAGGATGGTTATTGATGCTAGGCCCAATAAATTTTCATACCCAACTCTGTTTAAAGCTTGTTCTGTGGCGCAAGCTGTTCATGAAGGTACCCAAATTCATTGCCATGTTGTCAAACATGGCTTCGGTACTGACATGCATATCAAAAGCGCTGGTATTCAAATGTATACCTCTTTTGGTAGCTTCGAAGATGCTAGGAAACTTCTTGATAATGGGGAATCTGATGTTGTTTGTTGGAATACATTGATTGATGGGTACTTGAAATGTGGGAATTTGGAAGCCGCTAAAGGATTATTTGAGCAAATGCCAACCAGAAACATTGGCTCATGGAATGTGATGATCAGTGGCTTTGCTAAGGGAGGGAAGTTGGGAGATGCACGGAAGGTGTTCGATGAAATGCGCAAAAGAGATGAAATTACTTGGAGTTCTATGGTTGATGGTTACATCTCAGCAGGTTGTTACAAGGAAGCATTAGAGATTTTCCAGCTAATGCAAAGACAGGAGATTATACCTGGAAGGTTCATTTTGTGCAGTGTGCTAGCTGCTTGTTCCAGTGTTGGAGCCATCGATCAAGGGAGGTGGGTTCATGCTTATCTCGAAAGGAACTCCATTAAATTAGATGCAGTGTTGGGGACTGCCTTATTGGATATGTATGCGAAATGTGGGCGGCTAGACATGGCATGGAAGGTGTTTAATGAGCTGCAAGACAGAGAGGTCTTCACTTGGAATGCCATGATCGGTGGGCTTGCTATACATGGAAGAGCAGAGGATGCACTTGAGCTTTTTTCTAAGATGCAGAAGGGGAGACTAAAACCGAACGGAGTAACGCTTGTAAGCATCCTAACTGCTTGTGCTCATGCAGGATTTGTTGACAGAGGCCTGAGGATTTTTGAAACAATGAAGGAGTTTTATGGCGTTGAGCCTGAAATGGTGCATTATGGATGTGTGGTTGATTTGCTAGGGAGGTCAGGGTTGTTTTCTGAAGCAGAGGAGTTGATAAGCTCAATGCCAATGAAGCCCAATGCAGCTGTTTGGGGAGCACTTTTAGGTGGCTGCAGGATTCATGGAAATGTGGAATTGGCTGAAAGGGTGGGGAAGATTTTACTCGAACTAGACGTGGACAACAGTGGCTATTATACGTTACTGTCAAACATATACGCCAAGGCAGGGAGGTTCGATGACGTTGCTAAAATAAGAAAAACGATGAAGGAGAAGGGGATAAAAACAGTGCCTGGTGTCAGCATGGTTGATCTAAATGGTACGGTTCACGAATTCAAAATGGGCGATCGATCGCATCCACAAATGAAGGAAATATACAGGAAGCTGGAAAGAATAAAAGAAAGGCTGGAGATGGCAGGGTATTCACCTGATACATCTCAAGTTTTATTTGATATTGAAGAGGAAGAGAAGGAAAGTGCAGTAAGGTATCACAGTGAAAAGCTTGCAATTGCTTTCGGATTGATTAATACCTCACCAGGTAAAACCATACACATAGTGAAGAACTTGAGGATCTGTGACGATTGCCATTCAGCCACAAAGCTCATATCTCAAATTTATGATCAAGAAATAATTGTGAGGGACCGTGTTCGCTATCACCATTTCAAAATTGGAACTTGTTCATGCAAAGATTTTTGGTGATCTATGCGCCCCGAAAGTATGAATGCTCCATAGATTGGTTCCAGTCCCAGCAACATATGCAGCAAACCTTTTGATTTTGAGGTTGATCATATGACTTCACCACATAGTTGCACCATTTCCATTTTCAATCCCAATTTTGTTTGACTTCACCTCCTCTTGTAAGAATCATCGAATCTTAGGGGTTTCTGTATTGATGGAGAAGTTTTTACACAACTGAGCTAGTGTGTATGTGCTTGTGAATGAACTCTATAAAACCAATGCTGAAGTTTCAACAATGGCATAGGATTAATCTGCCTTCTGTTTTCCGTTGCAATATCATCATAGTCGTACACTATTCAGTTTACTTTCGCCAAAAGTAATTTGGAAAGGGTTGCAAAGTCAAGTCCGTCAACCTAAGCTGAATGCTATTGAGTACATATTTGAAAGTAAACCAACACTTAAAAGCTATCAACAGTTGTGTTTTGCTTATACTGCAAACTGAGAGAAGCTCTGACCGTGGATAGTCCATCAGTAGTGCGCAAGTCCCATTTTGGGGCGTGATAAAAGTTTGGTGGGTCAAGTTAGTAGCCAGTCCAACATTCGGTTGTCAACGTGACAATGTCGAAATTAAGTGGAGGAGAATGTCACAACTTCATTGAAAGAAAGTAGATTGTGACCCCCACATGCAAGATAGACAAGTGGCGCCTATACACCACATGAGGGCCTAGATAGATAAGTGACATAATGCTACCAAGGAGGACGGTGCATTATCCAATTCATCAAGAATATGCACTCAAGCCAACTTCTGAAGGCGATGATTCATCATCATCTTTGTCTCCGAGTCCAGATTTTGCAAATCCAGAGGTCCACCGCCAGTGAAATCTGACTGCATCTCAGCTAATCCTCTACCTGATGTATTTTTTATATCCTCCAAATCTCCCTTGATCACATAAGTAGGAGGTTGTGCCACATAAACCTCCTCATCCAAGCGATTTTTTCTTTCTGCCACTCCGTTAGTTGTCGATTTATTCCATGATTTGAGCATAACTCAATAAACTTAGTAGATGTGAACTCTCCACTCCCATCGGTTTTCAAACTTGGAAAATTCTTAAGGTTCTATTTCAGAAAAACAATCTCTTTAAGTCTTCCTTTTGTTCTACCATCTCTTGAACATATGTTTGATGGTGTTAGTATAATAAGTGCGAAAACAATTTTGATCTTAGACACTCTAAGTACATTAATTATAGTAAATTAACTAGCATGTTCAAAAGCATATTCAATGGGTTTGAATACTAACCTTTTGTAGTTCAAATTTTTTTTCCTCGTGAACTGGTTTCAAACCACCACTAGTGTCTTCCCTACTATTCTCATACCTTAGAACGAAATTGTGGAATCCGGTGAGTGACTAAACTTGATAGGAATTTAGTATTTGTAAAGAGAGAGTTTTGAGAGACTTTCTCAAAGTTTTTCAAGCAAACTTTCCATGTACCTTGATCACTCTATTTATAGTCATAAGAGTCATATTTGCATGTTGATGCAAATTTGAGATTATAACCTGTTGACACTCAAAATTCTACTGTGGGATTATGTGGCAAACATGCAAGTTTGGTTAAACCATATATTGACACTCAATATTCCACTCACACTCAAACATGAATATTTCCATTAGGTGAAGTCA